CCAGTCCTCCCAGTACAGCCTCCAGTTCTCGACGCCCCCCTTCCCCATGAATGGACCGTCCCCGCCCCCCCCCCAGCAGCCACATGGACCGCTCCTCCCTTCGCCCCGCCCCCTCTTTCCTATGATTGGCTGCGGCTGCCGAGTGGGCGGGCTCACCCAGCGGATCGATGACTTCACGCTGCGGCGTTTGACGGACAGCACCGGCGGCCAATGAGCGCGCGGGAGGCGGGGCGGGGCCGGGAGACGCCGCCGCCATTTTGTGAGCAGCGCGCGGCGGACGGGGCAGGTGGGGGCGGGGGCGGCCCGGGGGGGTTTCGGGGCCGGGAACCGGGACCGGGACCGGGGCTATTCATGGGCCAGGCCCGGCCGCCGGCCCGCCGGGCGCCCGCAGGCCGCGGGGGATGCGATCCGGGACGGTTTGGGGGGTCTCGGGCCTGTGGAGGGGAGGGGTTTGGGCGGGGGGTCTCAGATCTGAGGGGTCTCTGGCCTGACGGGGGTCTCAGGCCTGGGGGGTCAGGAGGGGTTTTGGGGAAGGGGTCTCAGGCCTGGGGGGTTTTGGGGTTCGGGGCGTGGCTCTGCTCTATGGGGGGTGCAGAGTTTTGGGGGCTGTGCCCTGCAGGAAGAGGGGTGTCAGAATTAGGTGGATTTTGGGTTATCAGGGGTTTAAGGTGGGTTTTTGGGGTGCCGGAGGTTTTAGGTGGTTTTTTTGGGGTGTTTGTGGGTACAGTGTAGGAGGGGGACAGCAGAGCTTTGGGGTGTTTATTTTGGGGGGGAATTTCAGGTGTTTGAGGCTCCGCCCTGAAGGAGCAGAAGCAAAATTTGGGGGAGATTTGGGGTGTTTGGGGCTGTGCCCTGTTAGAGTGCCTCAGCCCCGAGGGGCCACCATGAGGTTCAGGGTTTTTTAGGAGATTTGGGGTGTTTGGGGCTATGCCCTGAAGGAGCAGGGTCAGAGTTTTGGGGTGTTTATTTGAGGAGATTTGGGGTCTTTGGGACTCCAGCCCCAGGGACACACACAGACATTTGGGGGCTTTTTTTGAAGCGTGTTTGGGGGACCAGCCCTGAGCACAGAGGAGGTTTGGGGTATTTGAGGAGGATTGAGGGTATTTGGGGGCACAGCCCCAGGGACACACAGAGGTTTGGGGTGTTTCAGGAGATTTGGGGGCACAACCCTGGGCACACACACAGAGATTCAGGGTGTTTATTTGGTGTTTTGGGGGGCACAGCCTCAGAGGATTGAGGTGTTTCAGGAGGATTTAGGGTGTTTGTGGGCACAGCCTTGGGCACACGCACAGAGGCTTGGGCTGTTTTTTGGGGGGTTTTTGGGGAGCACAGCCCTGGGCACATATACAGACGCTCAGGCTGTTTTTTCGGGGCACAGTCGTGAGTACAAATAGAGAGGTTCAGGGTGATTCAGGGAATTCACACTCACAGAGGCCTGGACTGTTCCTCAGGGGGTTTTGGGGCTGTGTGTGAGCTGTTCTTCAGCCTGTTCCTCGAGGTGTTTTGGAGCTCTGTGTGGGCTGTTCTGGGGCTGTTCCTCGGGGTGTTTTGGGGCTGTGTGTGGGCTGTTCCTGGGGCTGCTCCTCGCGGTGTTTTGGGGCTGTATGTAGGCTGTTCCTCGGGGTGTTTTGGAGCTCTGTGTGGGTTGTTCCTGGGGCTGTTCCTCAGGGTGTTTCGGGGCTGTGTGTGGGCTGTTCCTGGGGCTGCTCCTCGGGGTGTTTTGGGGCTGTATGTAGGCTGTTCCTCGGGGTGTTTTGGAGCTCTGTGTGGGCTGTTCCTGGGGCTGTTCCTCGGGGTGTTTTGGAGCTCTGTGTGGGCTGTTCCTGGGGCTGTTCCTCAGGGGGTTTTGGGGCTGTGTGGGCTGTTCCTCGGGGTGTTTTGGAGCTCTGTGTGGGCTGTTCCTGGGGCTGTATGTGAGCTGTTCTTCAGCCTGTTCCTCGGGGGTTTTGGAGCTCTGTGTGGGCTGTTCCTGGGGCTGTTCCTCGGGGGGTTTCGGGGCCGGTTGGGGCTCACGGCGGCGCTGTCCGGCGCAGGCGGGTCGCGATGGTGAAGCTGTTCATCGGGAACCTGCCGCGGGAGGCGACGGAGCAGGAGATCCGCTCCCTGTTCGAGCAGTACGGCAAGGTGCTGGAGTGCGACATCATCAAGAACTACGGCTTCGTGCACATCGAGGACAAGACGGCGGCCGAGGACGCCATCCGCAACCTGCACCACCACAAGCTGCACGGCGTCTGCATCAACGTGGAGGCCAGCAAGAACAAGAGCAAGGCCTCCACCAAGCTGCACGTGGGCAACATCAGCCCCGCCTGCACCAACCTCGAGCTGCGCGCCAAGTTCGAGGAGTACGGCCCGGTCATAGAATGCGACATCGTCAAGGACTACGCCTTCGTGCACATGGAGCGGGCCGAGGACGCCGTGGAGGCCATCCGGGGGCTGGACAACACCGAGTTCCAAGGTGAGGCACGGGGCTGGGCGGCGGGAGGGCTCCAGGGTTCTCGGCGGACGATCCCGCTGGCCCCGGCTCCGGGGTCGATCCCGGATGTTACCACGGCCGGCCCCACGGGGCCGTGAAGCGCCCTCGGGGCTCTGGGGTTGGTGTCGGTTGGTGCCCGCCCCGCTGCAGCTCCCGGGGCCGCCCGCGCGGCGCGGCCGGAGCGAGGGCTCGGGCTCGGGGGCTCTGGGCCGGGGAGGACGGGACTGACCCATCTCTGATTAACCAGCACGGCCGCCCCGCAGGAGGACCCCGACGGCGACGTCCTGTGCCGGGCCGGAGCAGCGGGTGACGCCAGGCTGCCGCCCGCCCTTGTAGCCTTGCCCAGCCTGGTAAGAGGGTGACGGAGGCGCCCGACCCCGCGCCCGGCGTCGCTCGGGCGCTCGACGGGGCCGAGCGGCCGGACTCGAGCCGCGGCGCTGGCGGCGGTGATGGCGAGCGCGTCTCCCGGCCGGGTGCTCAGGGCGGCGTCCGGCGCTTCACCCACGTGGCGGCGGGGCCGGACCGGGCGTTCCCGGTGCTGCTGGGGCTCCACACGTCCCGCCGCCCCCATTGCGGGCCTTCCCCAAAAAACAGCGACCCACCCGGGCCGGCGCAGCTGCACCCAGAGCTGTCCCAGCCGCGTCCGCGCTTGGCTTTGCCTCGTGCCGCGCTCGGGCCAGGCCCCGTTCGCTCCGGGGTGCTTCCTTGTGTCGCATCCCTCTCGCCGCCGCTCCGGCGTTTTCCGGCGCGAAGCTTTGCCGTCACACGGGGCCGGCAGTGCTGGGTCCGACCCCGGGCTGCCGGGGGTTTGCCGGGCTGGCCGGTGTGGCCGTGCTCGGCTGTGGCAGCACGTCCCAGTCAGCTGCTGTCCAGCGTCCATCTGGTGGCTCACGCTCGGTCCTGCGGTGGCTCCTCCCGCGCCAGTGGCCGCGGAGGGCTGGGGGGGTGGCAGCCGGTCCCGTCCTGTCCCGCCGGTGCCCCGGCACGGCCGCACTGACCCTGCCTCTCGCGTCTCTCCCCAAGGCAAGCGGATGCGCGTGCAGCTGTCCACCAGCCGGCTGCGGACGGCGCCCGGGATGGGAGACAAGAGCGGCTGCTACCGCTGCGGGAAGGAGGGGCACTGGTCTAAGGAGTGCCCGGTCGATCGCCCGGGGCAAGTGGCGGACTTTGCCGAGGCCTATAACGAGCAGTACGGAGCCGTGCGCACTCCCTACACCGCGGGCTATGGGGAGACCGTGTATTACGATGAGGCCTACGGCGGGATGGCCGACTACTACAAGCGCTACCGCGTCCGCTCCTACGCCACGGCCTCGGCGTACGACGCCTACGCGGAGCAGACCATGGCCCAGTACTCCCAGTACGCCCAGTACTCCCAAGTCCAGTCCTCGGCCATGGCCGCCACCACGGCCATGGCCGGCCGCATCCCCACCACCTTAGACGCGTACGACCGAGCGCTGCTGCCCACCCCGGGCGCGGCGGC